CGTGTAAGAAATACGGGCCAATGATTGGACGGTTCCATGCTTGTGTGGTGGTGGGCCAAGTAAGGAGAGGTGTTAGTTACAGGAGAAAGCAAGGCAGATCTAAAAAGAAGTATCAGAGTAGAGTTTTTAAAAAGCACTTACGTAGTAAAATAGATGAATTGGACCTTTTAAACACAATAATTGTCAAACCTTGGTTTGAGTATTGGCATTTGGGTTTGCTTGTTGCCTGTTTTTGTGAGGCACAGCTGGACCACAAAAGAGTGAAGGAGCATCCCTGGAAAGAAGACAATATTCCTCAGTTTACTCAACCTGTATTCTTCATGCTAATGTTGCAGTTCTGCACCCACTTACCTGGGAATAAGCCCTATTGAACCTACTAGGACTTATTTATGAGGAGACATTTATAGCTTAGTTGTCAGATTTGTGCCAGTGATCAGGAAATCAGTGGGAAACTTGATTTAAGTCAAGCAGCTCTGAATGTAGCAGACATTATTTAATGCAGGCACCATGGATGTCACATCCATTGTTTGGAGAGAAACAGCAGAGCTTTGTACCTTGTTTAAAAATCACAAATGAACAATCGGGACCTACAAAAATTGAACATTCAAAACATTTTAATTCTTATGGCTACAGACTCACAGACTTGGAAATTTTTCCAATAGATAACTTTTATATTCAGGTCTATTATACGGAAGAGTGAATTTCTGGATCCATAGACTTCAGACTCTAATTCCACTCATGCACTTAATCTGAAAACCAACATTTAATTTCTAATTTGATGTTTCTTGTAAAAAGAAATAACCTTTTCTTTTTACACATGATATACTCCTTAGAATTATTCCATCCTGAGTGTCTTTACAAACTTGAAGTATCTTTAAAAGAAAACAACAAAATCCCGTTTGCTTGTCTTACCCTGTCCATTTGAAATTCCAACCTAGATTCTAAGGAAAGTGAAATATTCAAGTAAACAATATTCAGTTTATCTTTGTTTTATCATTCATATACTATCCATGTATGTTGGAAAGAATGTGTGATTGTGCAGGTCAGTGAAGGAATGGTTCTGGTATATATGCTAGAAAGATAAAAGAAATTGGATAGACTTACTACTTAGTATGCAGAACCTTCAAGTCATAGTGGGCAACATGAATATTCTGCGCATTTATTGGTGAATATATTGCGCCCTGGTGAAGAATATGCTTACTGAATGGACAAAGTGTGAAATATCTTGGTGGCTGAATGTTCTGACTTCATTTGCAGATGAGGCACATAAACTGGGCAATAGGTTAAATATTCTGTAAACTCTTTTTCATGTGAGCACATTTTCCATGCTGTCCATGGAAAGTAAAAAATGCTTGGCTTTTATATACATTCTCCATCCAGCTTGCAGTTATCACAATACAAAAATTCTGCACTGATAAATGTTTCTTATATTGAACTGAAATGCTTAGTTTATGTTTGCATAGCACATTAAGGTGTATTGATGCTGATTGAAATCCCCCTGCTCCAGATTTTATATACAGCATAAGGTGCACCATCCAATAACTGAATCCATTTATTTGAAAAATTATTATAATAGGAATAATTTGTAGAATGTACAAGTCCTTAGAAAAGTACTTTTAGATAAGGCATGAATAGATTGATATTAAGATCGAGGTTTACCTTCTAAACCAATGTCTTGTTTCCAACTGGAAATATTGGTGAACTATCTAAGATTCATCTTAGATTAACTTTATTTATTTAAGCATCGATTTTTAAATGTATATACTGCAACCTATAGCCCAATTTAGGGCTTTCTGGGCAATGAACATTATGTTAAAATGTGTAATACAATAAAAGAGTTCGATTAATTATCCAGTTCCCCAGCTCCTCATCCCAACATCTGATGATCAGACTTGTGCTGTGCCCCATGGACAGGTTCCTTTGACTTGGTGGCCTCCAGGTCTCTCTGTGGTGGTAATCATTCTCACCTGTAGTGAAGGTGTCTACATGAGACAGTGTCTGCAGTTTTGATATGCTTATCATAAACCTAAATTGGTACATCTGTTGAACGTGTGGCTGATGGTTTTTCCCAGCTTGCCTTTTGTCCTTAGTAACCAGTGTATTGTAGAGGCTAAGTAAAGTCTATCTAGCAATTCTCCAATTTGAATCCAAGCCACAACTTTGATTTTAATTTTGATACATGATATAATTTGTCAGCTTGTCTTGCAAGCAGCAGTTCTGAAGGACAGCCTGTACAGTTCTGAAATTTAAAACATTCTAAATCTTAGCTCACCTTTCTGCTTTTCTTCCTGCATTTACTTACTTCATTCCCCACCCCAGCCCCACTTCCTTTTGGTCTTTACTTTCCTTTAAAATATGTGTTTGAAAAGAAGCGGGGACGGGAATAATGGCTGTGTCACTGCTGTGACTGCCTGGATCCTGAAGACCAATTACCTGTTGAAGACCAATTTCTCTCCCTGTTTATTTTCCAGTATTTTTGCCCTACTTTTCAGCCGAAAGGTATTGCCACAACCATTTACAAAGGTAATGACACAGAAATCTTAAAATTACAATGCTCACAAAAAATGGCAGGTGCGGCAGTTCGCGCAAAGTTGTACCCAGTCCTGACCGAACTCTGGTTGCGTCCACCCGAGTTCCTGTGGCCGGCGCTGGAGCAGGGTGGCGAGCTGGAGCCTGAGCTGCCGCAGGAGGAAGGTTCTCCCCTGGCGGAAGATTCTCTTGTTGCCATCAGGGAAATCCAGCCCAGAAGCTTCATACTTTCTGCCCATCTCAAGAGCTAGCGCTGCGTACTTACAACCCTGACATCCAGGTTCAGATCGTTTCACATACCTCTTCAATCTGGATTGTGAGATTCTCGACCATGATTAGTACCATTATTATGATTATTTATTTGATTTCTGTACCACCCACTAGCCAAAGCAGTATGTTCCATGATCAAGTCCTAGAGTCCTTGGCAATAGATTTAGGAAATTCATTCCATTGAAAATGAGCACAGAGAAGCACATGCAGGAATTTAAAGTCAGAGCTGTGAGGCAAATGACCATAGGGCAGCCTTCCCTAATCTGGTAGATGCTGCTACTCATTTCCATGCTGGCCATAGTAGTGGAAGTTGCGGGCTAATAATTGGTACTGCAGCAGTTTGGGAAGCCTCCCCTTGGACATGCATCTTTAGTTGCAAGATTGCAACAAAACTGCGCCTGCCTGACCTAAGCGGCTACAGCAGCAGTGTCAGCTCTTTTCTGTGGGGGAGAGGATTTTTTTCAAAAAGAGGAGGGGAGACAGCAAGCAGAAGGGAAAGGGAAGGAAGGAGATGCCCTGAAAAGAGAATGCATCCTGCCATGGCCTTGCTCTTTCAAAATTCCATTCATTTTAAAAAAAGGGTGGAGTAGGAGAGAGGTGGGGGGGAGGTACGGATTTAGTGTTTCTCAGGAATTAAGAGCAAACTCTTAAATGCTGTCAGCCCAAAATAGCTTTTAAATAAAGCAATAAAATAGTAAGATTTTTAAATCTTGGCCTCACAGTGCTGGAGGCGACCACAAGTAGAAACAAATATGATGCAAGCTCATAGACATTTCCTCTAAACCACGATTACAACAACCACCTACACACACACACATGGGGGGGGGGGGGGGGAAAGAGAGAGAGATTTTTCCTTTGGAGATTTGGCAGCAGTTCACCCCTTTCAGCTGCAAATCAAAGATGGAACAACAATCTGAAAGTCTGTGACTTAACATGCGTTTATTTGAAAAATGCAGTTTTTAACTCATTCTACCTTGGTTATTTCCAAAGAGATACATGCATTGAATGCTATACAGGTGTAAACAAGTGGATCCATAGTGTTACTCCTGGCAGGTTAGAGACCTCAGCATCCTAATCTGGTAAATTACTTAGTGTAAACTTGTGGATGGCTATTATCTTGGTTGCCCGTGGCAAATGAGTTGCTTCTCAGTAATATGGCTGCGGAGTCTCACAGCATTTTTCTTTTATGGATGTCATAAATAGCTAAACTTGGACAGGTGGGCAAGTAACATCTGGGGACTTACTTGGTAGGCTGCCTTAGCCTTATTGGGAGATCTAGAGTATTTAGCGCTCTCAGTATAGCAACGTCTTTCATTCTTAGTTTTCCTTGCTCTATTGCATTTTCTTGTAACTAAGAATATTGCCTGGTTGATTAAATCTTTGTTACTTGTGCTCATTCTAATCATTCACCTGAGATATTAAGGGAACCATTGCATGCATGTTCAGACAGAAAAAGGTTCTGCAACTCCCAGCATTCCCCAGCTAGTCATGCTGGCGAGGGCATGCTGGGATTGGAAGACATTTTTCTATCTGATTATGCATAGGATTCTGCCTTTAATTGCATAAACTTCCCTATGAGGAACAAAAAATGTGTGCTTCGTGTCCAGAAGTAGCCAGATTGTAATATCTCTTTGGTGCTCTTAAAAGCCCAAGTGTCCCTACCAATCAGAATCCAGGGCACAGATGAGCAGGTAAAGGTGTGTGGGGCAAGTGGCTCATTTCTGAATGGATCCATTAAATCATGTTGGCCAAAATGCTTTAAAGGGGTCTGCAATCTTGGACACAGTGGAAAAGGGGATGCAAATAGGTTTCCGAATGGGGGAAGGGCAGGGTCAGATTGAGGCCTGCCCTGTCGGTATCCCCGGGTACGTCCCTCCTGCTTGGTCTATCAAAATGTTATCTGCTGTTCACTCTTACAAGAACTGGAATGCTGCCGCAGTGTGGGCAAAGTCTGCACGCGGTTTCCTCTAATGTTTGAAGAGCCTTTGTCCGCAGGGGCACCACTGAGAGTCTAGGTGTTGGCTTCACAGGGGCATTTTGCAGCTCTGTCCTCTCCCTGTGCCCTCATGTGTCATGCCTTCATTATTATGGGCAGGTCATTGTGGGGTTTCTATGATGCTCAAGTTCAAATGTGCTGTGCACAGTTTTAGAATTTTGTCTTTGGGGTATGCTTTTTGACGTGGTGTTTCGATGTATTTTAGGAATAGGAGGATTGCAAGAATTTGTACTGAAGTCAGCAACACTCTCCTCATCCCCAGCTTGCCCACCCTTCCTTCCACTCAGCTTTGAAGCAACACCCATTGTACGAGTTGCTGTGGAACCAAAACACCCAAGTAAGAGTTCTCTCTCTGTTTCTTAAATAAACTCTCTCGGTATTTTCTGCATTCATTAAATGAAGTGTACTTTTGAAAACCATAGGGGTGGTAAGCAGCAGCAGTAAATGAACTGAAGCAAATACTGGCTGGGGCATGGGAACCATCTGCATAACTGCATTCGGACATAGCGCACACATTCTGAAGGAAGGGCAGTGAATGTTGACATGTAGCTCTTGTTTTGCTCATTTACGCTGTGCTTCTTCATATGTATATTTATAGTCTCACTGCTGCAGACTGGGCCTTGCTTGTCGGGAGAGAATTATGCCCCTTTGCTAGTGGTTTAAAAAGAAAAGCGAAATCTCCCCTCATCCCTCTCATGCCATGTGTCTTTCTAAGTAAAATGTTACTTTTCCCGACTGTCTAACCATTCTTTGTACTCTCCAGTATTTCTCTCCAGTCTACAGTCTCCTCTTCCTGGTCTCTGCTTATATGTAGTTAAGTTTTTTGGCAGCATTTCATTTGAACATGTCTTTGTCTTCCCAGGTGAGATGCCACAGCTGGTCAAAGGTATGAAGCTTCTAAACCAAGCTGATCCTTGTGTACAGGTTTTGATCCAGGAGACAGGGGAGCACGTGTTAATTACAGCAGGAGAAGTCCATCTTCAGCGCTGTTTGGATGACTTGAAAATGAGGTTGGTTTCAGGGGAGGCAGCAAGAGAGAAGGGGGGGGGAATGTGCAAGGTTTCATGATATGATGCAGCATTTGCAAGACTATTAAATTTGTAGGTGCAGTTTAACGTATGGAAAAGGTCAAAGACTGCCTCAGTCCTTATTTCACTCTTTCTGGTACACCAATAAATATTTCTAATAGCTATGAAATCAGCTAAACTTGGAATGCCACCGACAGTTCCATTCCTACATGGTTCATGCTTTCAGCAAGATCACTCCTCCCTTGCATTGATTTGCTGTACGGGTATGTGCATTCCTGGGAGAAAGCCACCTTGATGGCCCATTTAAGAGATGAAAGGTAAGGGAGAGAACCTTATTAAAAACTAACAAATGGCGCATGCCTTTTTAGCAGCGTGGTTGGCTACAGCTGCACGGCATATGTGCACCGCATACACATGAAGTACAATAAGTACGTGAAGTTGTAGCACGTGCCTGTACTGCAGGCATAGCTGATATAAGGCAAGGTGAAGCCACTTCCCCAGGCAGCAGTTTCTAGCCTTTATTAAGGACAATAGCATGGGAGGCAGGCAAACTGGAACCGAGGGCATGGTCTATCGGGACACTGTCCTGTATAAGCCTAACTGAAACTCATGGAAGTTGTGCAAGAGCATAGTTCCTGTTCATTTCAAGAAGACACATGCAGGAGAGCTTCTGGTGCATGATGTCCTGCGTTAATCAGCATGTGTATAGTGGGTTGCTATTTAGATATTCTTTACCAGACTTCCAAATGTCTTTTGGTGAAGGCTGAGAGACAGAAGAATGTTTGACCAAGATGGCATGCCGTCACAGTGAGCTGTGAATGAACAGGCAGGCGCTGGTTCCTGCCCACCTGCTTCCACCAAACTGAACAACCAGGAAATGCCCTGTGTGGAAGTCCTGACTTGGCACAGTGGGCTGTCTTCCCCCAGCAACCCAGAATACCCAGCATGGATACCTTTATCTGCAGTAGTTCCTCCTGGCTGCAGGGGAAGCAATCGGGTGGCGAGAAGCAGCACGCTTGGCCAGTCCTGCTTCACTCGAAGTGACAAAGGGTTTGGGAGAAAACCCAGCCAAACCCGGGTTACTGTGATGGCCGTACTGGGCCTCTGCGTGCGCCCCATCTGTTGGCAGTCAAACAGATTTGCTCACATAGAGGTGTTGCCAGCAGAGGAAGTTTCCTTAAGTGGGCATCTTCATTTGGTAAACCCGGCTGTGCTGCTTCCCCTACTCCTTGTCCCAGATGTGAGCGTGAAAGTAGACTTGGCTGAAATAGTATATTTTCACAACACCCAGACTTTTTTTGTTAATGTCTGTTACTGTCTCGGTGGTTTTCCCAAAAGAAATCAAGGGTTAAACTGAGCTTGCCCTCACATTTTAATTATAAAACATTATGTATGTTTTCCCAAATCATTTGGTTACAGCAATTATCCATCTAGAATCCTCTTCTTAAAACCTCCTTAAGAGCCAATTTTATCAAATGCTTATGATTGCTCTTGTAAAGCTTGAACATTTATGCAAACTTGTGTGCCAAATTTAGCTTGTCATCTGTATAGTCTTCATCCCTGCCAAGATCTTCCCTGTCCCAATGAAGGTGAATTCACTTGTTCAGCTCAAGTGATACATCATACTTGCCTCTTGATGGGGGTCTGACCTACCTACACAGTTGTGATAATAAAATAAGAGGCTTTTGTGTACCACACTCGGTTCCTTGGACTCTGGCTGAGTTACACGTGTGAATGCTTCTCTGCCATCTCATTGCTTTTCTTTAGTTCAGATTAAAATGCAAGATATAGAAGAGCGCCCTAGTTGCATTGTGACAGCAAGAGAGCCAAACTGTAAGGGGACCCTGTTCCATTCCTGATTTCCCTGGAAATGCAACAGGGTCTGATTTTCCAACCAATGCAAACTGTGTGGTTAGCCAGTGGGCATGATAATATGAGCAGCACCTCCTTCTTGGCTGCTCTTGCTGAATAATTGCTTCATACCGCAGGAAGCAGAGGTCTGTGATGATAATGTGAAAGTGTGATGTGGGCATCAAGTGATAACTGCTGTTTATTCACTATTGGAATCTTTGAATCCTGCCTCTTCTCTGCTTTCTGGCCTAACTTTAGTGTTTTGGCTTTCTGTAGGTTTGCCAAGGTAGAAATTAGTGTATCAAAACCAATTATTCCGTTCCGAGAAACCATTACAAGGCCACCCAAAGTTGACAGGGTGAATGAAGAAATAGGAAAGCAGCAGAAAGTTGCCGTCATACACCAGAGTAAGGAGGAGCAGAATAAAATCCCTGAAGGTGTGCAGGTTGATTCAGATGGGCTCATAACAATAACAACACCAAACAAATATGCTACCCTTTGTGTCCGAGCCACACCACTTCCTGAAGAGGTAACTCAGCTTCTTGAGAAGAACAGTGACTTAATTCGAACCATAGAAAGGTTCACCTCCTATTTCAATGAAGGTAAGAAAACTCAGGAGGTGAATAAGAAGACCCTTGACCAGATACAGGAGTTTAAACAAAAACTTGAACAAAACCTGCAGGGTTGGAAATGGAGAAATGCCGTTGATGGGATCTGGTCCTTTGGCCCCCGAAAATGTGGGCCTAACATTTTGCTGAACAGATTTGAGGGCTACAAGAGATCTGTGTGGCAGTGCCTGGAAGGCAGCAAACCAACAAAAGAAGGAGGCCTGTATCGGGATTTTGATAACAGTATAATAAGTGGATTTCAGCTGGCTACACTTTCAGGACCAATGTGTGAAGAACCACTTATGGGTGTCTGCTTTTCTGTGGAGAAATGGGATATGAGCAAATTTGAAGAGCAAATGTCACTTAATAAGCAGGACTTGGAGGACAGGAATGCTCAAGAAGAGACAATGGGAATGGAGGACGCGGCCCCTGTACTGAGGGTCAAAAATAAAGAATTGGTTTCTGAAAATGAGCTCCAAGAAAGCAGTCGAGCCAATCTCAAATCATCCAGTAAGTGCAAAGGAGAGACCTTGCTTGCAGACTGTTATGGCCCTTTCTCTGGGCAGCTGATTGCCACCATGAAGGAAGCATGTCGTTACGCCATGCAAGCAAAGCCACAGAGGCTCATGGCTGCCATGTACACCTGTGAAATTATGGCAACAGCAGACGTACTAGGTAAGAACAAAATCAGCAGCTTGTGTAAATACCCCATCTGTCCAGAAACACTATCTCTGGCTGGAACACTGAGCTTAAATAATTTTGTTTTTCTGGAAGATTATTTTTCTTTCTGTGGCCTCCCACATGGGAATGTCTGGTTGAATCAGTAGTATTTCCCCCATTCTTGGTATATCTGCATTTATTAGTTATTTGAAATAACAACTCCTGTATAATACCTTCTGTTCATGCTTTAAGTTCTTCTAAAGGTTAAGAGCAATGTGATATTGAGAGAACATCTAGCTTGTAAGCCTGTTTTGCACCTGAAAGTAGTAGACAGTGAAGAGAAAGACAGTCCATGCAGGGTGAGACGGTGGTTACAAATCACACATAGCAGTGAGATTCAACTCCAGTGTTACTGTAGGGATGGTTCCAAGAATTATGTGATGAATGGAACATAGTCCAACTTAGCCCCTCTTCCCAATTCACTTCCTCCAAATCTCATCACTTTTTTTTTGCATTACACTGTTTTGTTTTTGAATTGTCTGATGACTAATTTCTGATTTGCCTTTGATTTTTAAATTCTAAGATACCTGAGGTTTTCCCACGTTTTATGGTAGCGAATGACTTTGTTTCCTGAAGCTTTCTTTGTCTCTCTTGTTGTGTTTAACTAATTCGCCTAATTCAGTAATTATCTGAATGGATGAAAAGGATGTGATAAACTCAGAAAGCTCATTGAACCTCTGTGCCTTTGCAGGTCGTGTGTATGCCGTCCTGTCCAAAAGAGAAGGCCGGGTCTTGCAAGAGGAGATGAAAGAAGGTACAGATGTGTTTATTATCAAGGCAGTGCTGCCGGTAGCAGAGAGCTTTGGCTTCGCTGATGAAATCAGGAAGAGAACGAGTGGCCTGGCCAGCCCACAGCTGGTGTTCAGCCACTGGGAGGTAAACTTCTCTTCACTCTCGTCTGCCTTGGCGTACAGTTCCTTGTAGATGCTGCAGAAAAGAGGAATAAAGTGAAGGGAGGAGATTAAATTATGGTCCAAGCTTACTGAACTTCTATTTTGCTCTTTGTAAAACGGAAGCGTATGAGCACATTCGTGTCAGGATGGTTTGTTTTATCTGAGACATGCATCAGAATACTGATGTCCTGTTTCAGTAGGTCTTAGGTGGTTTAGAGTATCCGAAGAGCTCTGCTGATGAGCGCAGCAATGTTTCCAACCGTGTCAGCCACATAACATGGGAAAATATGGTTCGTAAAACCATGCATGGCGTTGGGAACAGTGCATAGAGATCCCTATGGCAGTAGATTCAAGATAGACGAAAGGAAATGTTTCTTCACACAACACACTTACTAGCTTACAGAGCCACAAGAAGTGATTGTGGTTCTTTAGTGTAGACCCCTTTAAAATGACAAACCCATGGGTGTTTATAGGTTTTATCAACAGTTGTTGATCATATAGTGAAACAGAATCATTTTCAGAGGAAGCATTGAGAGATGTTCACCAGGGCTGTTGACTTCATTTATGCCTTCTTTGTGAGCTTTCTGGAAGCATTTGTCTAGGTATTGAGAGAGAAGGTGCTGGACTGAACCACTGACTTCATCCAGCAGAGCTGCCCTTACTTTCTTTAGCCAACAAATTAACTAAACAACATAGAGGAAATCACTAGTTCTTATTTTTCTTTGTGGTGGGGTTGGTGCTTGGTGAAAATATCTTTTTATGAACTATTATTTTTAGGAGTTTGGATCTGTTTGAAATGCTGAAATAGATGCCATGGATCAAACATTATTTATGTTTTCAGAGGTTCTTTGCAGGTTGACAGCAGCAATAAAATGAATGGCTTGCCCTCCCCCAGTTTCCTACCTCCTGTCCGTTCTTCTTGAACTGTGCTTTCCTCAAACCGTGTAATTTACAGTCAAGAGCTTTTGAAGGGAACATGCTTTAAAGAATATAAAGGAGAATACAATTACATCCTTCTTTACATTGGTTGTTAGTCTGCAATCTGTTCCCTTTTTTCAGAGACCTGTGTAAGAAAAATACAGACTCAGGTACAAAATGTTCTTTGTAATCCTTGTTGTTCAGGGCTTCTTGTAGGTTAACAGATTTGCCACCTAGCAAACATGTATTTTTGGCTGGGTAACTTCGCAAATGGACAGAGGGAACACTATGGACATAATCTACCTTGACTAGCAAAGCTTTTAATGTAGTGCCCCACAACAGTCTGATAAGAAAATTAGTAAAAACTGAACTAAATAGAAAAACCTATTAGGGGTATCCAGAATTGGCTGCTAAATCATACACAAAGAGCGCTCATAGAAATATAGAAACAGAGCAAGTTAGAAAGGGTCTCCTGGGCCATCTAGTCTGACCCCCGGCTCCAGCCAGCTCCACTCATGGCCTGCCTACCATCAATGACACCTTCTCAAACTGGAGGAAGGTAGCTAGTGGGGTGCCACAGAGTTCTGTCCTAGTCCCAGAGCTCTTCAACATCTTTATTTATTTATTTATTTATTTATTTATTAAAACATTTATTAATGATTTAGATGAGGAAAGACAAGGAAAGACAATCGGATTCGCAGACAATAGAAAACTGGGTGGAATAGCTTATACTCTCTCTATATATATATACTCTAAGCTGTAAGAACTCATAACTATTATCAAGGTACCCCATGTGTTTGAATGAGTGTAGTCCATCCTTGCCAAAGCCAGCAGCTCCCATCATCCCCACCTTGCTATCTAGAGTTGCACCCCATATGTGTGGACAAGACCAGATTAAACAAAGAAGTGAGGGCCAACTAAACATCAGCTGAACTATGCATGGCTGAGCTGTGTGTGATTCTCTCCCTTACCCTTCTGCAAGTGTGCATGGCCTTGATTTGGATCGGGACCATAGTATTGCAGGAGAGGAGGGTTTAAATTTCCCCTTTTCTCTTGTGATTCAAGAATCTCACCACCTACAAGGGAGCTCGGAGAATATTTCTTGATCTTTTTTCCCTTTGTAAAGCCTCCCCCATGTGTGGAATTTCTGGATGAAAGTGACAGTGGCGGATGGCACTTAAACCCCAAGTACCGTAATCTGGTTGAACTCAAGGCCGTGACTCCTGCAGAAGAATAGGGGAGGAACAGTTTTGCATAGCTCAGCTACATGTGATTAAAGGAAGGTTTAGTTTGGCCCTCAGACAGCTCTTCTGAGCTCCTTGGGGGAAAGATAGGATACAAATGTGATTGATGATTGATTAATACTGGTTTAAAAGTTCACTGTCTCAGCCTTATCTATCTCTTTGACAACACACATCTCTTGAGGCAGGTTTTGTTTCCAAAACAGCTGAATTAGAAACAGATATCCTTTTAATACAGAGGTGCAATCTAGTTTGCTCTGGATAGAGAGTACTTTTGACTCATCATGTTTCCTGCTGTAAATATTGGAAGCTAGTAAAAGGATTTTTAAGTGAAAGATGACACGCGGCACCAGGCTGGAGGACAACCATTTTTTCCTTCCAGATTTCCAAGATCAACAGAAAAAAGGCTCTCTGAGTGTTTCTTTAAAAGCAACTGAGTCTTATAGATCTGGTCCACTTACGCCACAGTCAGTCCTTCAGAGAAGCCAACAGAGAAAGAAAATTGAAACTCCATTCTAGCTGTATGGGCTTCTTTCTGAAGCTTTCATTGAGTAGCTTCTCCAAATGCCATCATGCGTTCAGCAGCCCTGCCCTGCTTCTGAGCCCCACAAGCGAAGACAAAGTCTGGTACCAAACACTGATCTCTGGTAAAAGCACCTGCCTTCCCTCACCAGGAATTCTGATGATTCTCCCTGCACTCCATTGCTGGCAGGGTTCATCCTCCATCTGCCAATAGGCCATAGCTAGATTCTGGGGAGGCTGGTAACCATGCCAATGGGGCTTCTTACCTGCTGCAGCTTTTATTCTGTGCTTTATAGGAGCTCTCTGTGGTGCTTCATAGTGATGAATCTGTTTGTGGGGGTGGAGTTAAGTACCAGCCCAGCCATCAGCATGTAAGGAAGCAAGCAAGAAAGGTGTGAGTCTTTAGCCTGATCCTTCCAGGGATAGCCACACTTTTGATGACAGCTGTGCAGAAATTTTCCCTTCCGAAAAAGGGACAGTAGAGTCCAGCCATTTTTTAAAAAATTTCATTTAGGGACCTATTAAGCAGAAATTCTTGCTGTTGGTTTTTGCTCACTATTTTTTCCAAAAGGTATTCAAAAGCAAGCATTTCCTCTCTCTTTCCAAATCCGCTTTTAGCAGATGATTGACAATTACAGTTCTAGTTTTCCCATCTCTTTTTTTCTCTCTCTCCTTCCAGTAATGCAGCTCTCTGTACAATTCTTCTTTTTCTAAGGTAATTTCAGATGATCCATTCTGGGTACCAACCACGGAGGAGGAGTATTTGCACTTTGGGGAAAAGGCAGACTCTGAGAACCAGGCCCGCAAGTACATGAATGCGGTGAGGAAGCGGAAGGGGCTTTATGTGGAAGAGAAGATTGTGGAGCACGCTGAGAAGCAAAGGACTCTCAGCAGAAACAAATAGCTGCTTCTGCTTCTCAGATAAGTGCAGGCAGATTATCTTTTATCCTGAAGATCCCAAAAAGTCACCTTGGATGTTCTGTGCTGAGTGAGTTTTCTTACTGTCACTTATCTGTGGCTTGAGTTTTAATAAACCTAAGCCTTTTCAAACAGTTTTTTATTATACGCTGTTGCACCCTTCATGGTATATGGGTGGATTTCAAGCTTCCTGCCTCGTGGAAAGTCATTTCACTCCAGCTGATCTTCCGAGAAATGCTTGCAGGTTTTCTGCAGAATCCCTGCCTGCAGCTGAAAAGTCTGGAATGGTGGGGCTGCAGCGATCACTTGAATGCAGTTGATTAGGGCACCCCATGTTAAAACATTACTTGAAAATGTGCTGCTGATCATTCAGCAGTTTAATGTTCTTAGATATAAATTCTTTTTAAAAACTGTGGGTGGCAAATGCCATCCTAAGAAGCATTTTCCCTCTTCAAGAAGGGAAGAGGGGAATGCCTCCTAAAGTGGTGCTTGCTACACATCTACAGAATCTGCATACATCTGCATAATCTGAAAAAAAAAGCCTGCAAGAATTTACTTCAGAACTGCTGTTTCATCTCATATGCAAACTTAATACAAGCTTAACTTACCAAGACAGACACCCCAAAAACCCTTTTGGGGCACTTTTAGAATTTGGGGAGAGTTGCCAGTGCCACAGGGGCAAGCCTTACCCATTCATGGAACAGCCAGCATGGTAGGCCACAAAACATGAATTTCCCAGAAGGCAAACTGGTGGGACTAAAAGAAAAGTAACCTGCCCAAGAAACTTCTGAACTCAAGAATGACATGAGAGGGCAGCACTCCATTTTGAATCATGTTGTCCTTGTCCTTGAAAAACAATCTTTTAAAATAAAAGAAAAATCAGGAGATGCAGGTGCTAAGAGAAGTGTGTTTGAATCCACTGGGGGTCACAGAGGCCACAATAGGACATCTCACAGTTTCTAGTTAATCAACTAACAGTTCAGCGCTATGCAAGTTTATAGGGAAATCAGGGTAACTCGTTTTCTAGTGTGCACAGGATTGCAACCTAATTTAACTAGGTCGCAACTCCAGTTCTAAGCAGGTCTTTGGTGTTATCCTCAGTGAACTGAGACTGCCCCCTAAAATGCATCCAGTGGTAACAGTAAGCAGGGTACATTTTCCTTTTATAGAAATGAGTAACAGAGCATTATTCTCTCATTGAATACCTTGTGCTCCCTTTGTGTAACTTAGTTTCTTGCAACCACTTTTTGTGCACGTCTGACACAGTACAACTTCATGCATGATGAAAACTTCTGCAGTTATACTGACTGCTTGATAAATAAATGCCAGAATTGTTCTCAGATAAATTGCTTGGGAAGCAAATTGTTCTTCAACAAGATTATCTTCCTTCTCACAAGTTATCGTGGACTCAGTTTGGCAAAATATTTTGAAAATGCGTACTGAAAATGAGATCAGCAGCAGCTTATATGAATGTTTTTCTCCTAGGACTAAAAATGCAGCTGTCCTGTGGCATTGGATCTAATAATCCTATGGTCATTTACAACTGCAATATTTTAATTAGTTTACACAAGATACTATCAAGATGATTAATGGAATAATATTGCTTCTGCACCCATTAAGCAGCCTTGAAGAAATTGGGAGAAATGCTTTCTCTGCCAGGTTTTACACTGATTGTCATAGCAACTGTTAAGTGGCAACTAATTTTGAATTTTGGGGCCCTGCCTGCATCTTCAAAGTTAAAGAACAAAATTAAGCTTATCTATATTCTCTCGAGGTGATGCACTATTCACACAGGGTGCATATACTCTTAATAGGTAAAGATCCTATTAATGACAACTGACTGTTCTTGCTGGGGGGCAAATTCAGTTCCAAAAAGATCCAGCCAATGAATGGTCCTTAGAATGCCCTGGTTCTCCATGCACTGATTGCGGAATCCACACAGAAAAGGTGGCTGCACTGAGCCCGCTTCTGCTTGTTTCAAGTATTTCTTAGTGCACCTTCTGTGTACATGGAACTTCAGACGGAAGCGGGTTCCCAGGTCTTTGCACTCAGGACCTTGCAGTCTAACAGAGGCACAGTGAAGCAACAGGAGGGTGATGGGAAATCTGGACTGAGGAAAGAGAAACATGGACTTGAACTTAGCCATAGCTAGTCCCGGTGTGTGACTGGAGGGCAAAAGTATCACCCATATTCACTGTATTATTGTCACTGTACAGTAAAAAGTAAAGGAAAAAGTTTCCCCACACTTGCGTGCTCGTCATATCTGACTCTGGGCAGTGCTCGTCTCCGTTTGTAAGCCAGAGAGCCAGCGTTGTCGGAAGACGTTTCTGTGGTCATGTGGCCAGCATGACCAAATGCCAAGGCACATGGAACTCTGTTACCTTTCCCACCAGACTGATACCTATTTATCTACTCACATTTGCTTGCTTTTGAATTGCTAAGTAGGCAAGAGCTGGGACAGAGCATGCGCTCGCCCCATCACACGGATTGGAACTGCCAGCCTTCCGATTGGTAGCCCAGCAGCTCAGCAGTTCGACCCACTGCACCGCCTGCGTCAGCTCACAGTACATTAATTCTTTTTGCCGAAGAGCATTTGTAATGAGCAGAGTCCAAACTTGGCTTTTAATTGGATACACGCACAATTCTTCTGACCTGACGTCAGTGGAGTCAGGTGCATTGTGCTGCACTTCAGTGCATTGCATTGCAGAGAGGTTAGTTCCATGTGAGGTGCCTGACTCTTTTAAAAAAGGTCTGTTCAGGTATTCTTCCCCCACCCTCAGATCTGTAAGAATGTAGCAGGTCCTGCTTGCGTGTGTTCAAGTGTATTTTTAGTGTGGTGAGTGCTAGAAATGTTGAATTGAAAGCTTAGATTTGCTACAGCAAAATGGGCTAAGATGAAACAGTTGGAGGCCACTAGGCCAAACTGAAAGAATTTACCAGGTGGAGGTAAGACTGAAGGAAGTGGCCGGTGTCAGAGTCTGGTCCCATGGGGTGGGGCATTTGCAAAGTCTCAAACCCAGTGGGGGGTCCACTGGCCCCTGGAGCCCCCTGCCACCCATGCTGTGGCCGCCTGCTCACCTGCCGCCTTTAGTCAACTGAGCAGTGGCGAGTGCCGAGGAAGAACTCTAGCTTCCTTTCGCCTTGCCCTCTTCTCCTGGGTCATGGGGCTGGTTGGCCTCAAGGGGCCTCGGGAAGCGAATGGGCACGGCAGCGGCGCTCAGAAGATGGGATTGCTCAGCGTGGAGCACTCCCAGAGGACGTCCTTTCTCACAAAAGCTGGAGCCAGCACTGCTGCCAGCAATCTCCTCTGGGCATCGGGGTCGAGGTCTGCACCCTCGACCTGCCCTCTCCATTTCAGGGTTGCCTTCTGAGAAAAGGGGCTGTTGCTTGCCGAGGTGAGGTGTGCATGACTGCCACAGCTCCGTCTGTCGCAGTTTCTCGCTTCAAGAAAAGCACCTGGAATTATTTGAAGCAGGGTTTGAGTAGGTGCACACACCCCTGGTGACACCTGCTTTCTGTGATGCGGGAAGAGCATGTTACCTGCCAGGATTCTCAAACCGTAGCGATGGGGGTGGAGGGAATGTCTCTGTTCCCAAAATGACATGTTCTGTTTTTTCCACTCAAGTGCTATAAAGGTATGACAGTATTCTTCAAAGTATTATCCTAAGCTTGAAGATGAGCGGCTAGTGCGTGGGTCCTCAACCTGCGGCCCGCGGGACGGGTCCGGCCCACCAAGGCCATCCATCTGGCCCCTGCCGCCGTTCGCTGCCCATGCACACTTGCTGCAGGGGTGGGGAGGCGGTGGCTCGCTCACTCGGCGACGGTTTTGGGCTCACTGGGAGATCCCCGAGCGAGCGAGCCACCTTGCGCACACCCGATGGCACCTCGCCGGCCCGCGCCCCCAGGCACCCCCACCTCACCGGCCCTCACGGTCACCGCAGGCTTTCCACTGGCCCCCTGTTGAAAAAGTTCAAGGACTGACCCCTGGGCTGGTGAAGCAAGGCATGAACAGTGTTGAATGGGGCGTGTTCAGACAATTTGACCCTGAACCACCAGCTTCTGTTGCTCAGTTTAATCCTTGATGTAAATGATCACAAGCAGTTTAAAACTACAACAGCAACATAGACACGCTTTTCTTTCCTTACTTTCTGCTCTTTTCTTATGTAAACAGCACAGCAAGATTCTAAATTGAATGGTCTGTTAAAGTGTAGCCAAACAGCCATTTGTTCCGTCAACAAATTCGATGGTCTACTTTTGCCTTGTAACAAACAGAAGTAAGAGATCTAGTCATAGAAAATACAGACAGTTCCAAGACCGTTCCAGTTACTGCTCTGTTGTTAAACATGCTTAGTCCCCACACCCCACCCTGGAAAGGGTGCATTTTAATAAATGTGAAGTTTTTGCCTTGCTGAAATCTGTACCTTTTCTTTATAGAATGCAGTGTGCCAGTATTAAACAAAAGGAGAGCCAGCTCCAGTGTAAAGCGGGCCTGGGTCTCACAGACAGCATTAATAGTTGTAAACCTATTTCTGGACTCTTCAGACTACAAGTTCAGAGAATCCTGGTTCACAGGATTGAGTGCTCCCAGGGAGGGGAGGGGAGGGGAGATCTGGCATTTTGAGAAGGCTCAAACTGTGTGATGCTAACCATGTCACTAACCACATCTTTTTAAAAACCAGCAACAAAGTAATAGGCACAGTAGGGACCATTTTTGTCGGAATCACAGCAGCAAATCTTCTCTTCCTACCTACTTGTGGTTCTGACAAAAATTGCATTGAACTCCTGCTGTCACATTTTAAAAATAAACCTAGTTTCATTTGGCTTTCTAAATGAACAAGGAAATACAATATTTTTCTTCTTTAGCAAATATGGGTCTATATTTAATGTTGTATCTTGTATGGCCCAATTTAGTGCATTCCAGATGATTTGGGTCAGAAGTGGATAGGGGTCAGGTGGCCACCACCTACACCCAATTAGTAACTGGTGGCAGAAGTCATGGCCGTTGATCGGGAAGATAAGGCTTCTGGGGAGCGTGATCTTTTTTCCGAGCAGCACTGCACTTTTGGGAGAGTGATTCTGCTTGTACTTGCGTGCCGTCAAGTTGTCTCTGACTTCTGGTGACCTTATGAATGAA